TTTTCTGGATTTCTGAATATTGAAGTACTGCACTCATGGGTGAAGGGGGTAGATTTTTGTGGGCTGGTAACAGGATTTAATAAAGTCTGATGTCATTCTGAGCTTGATTATTTTTCACGCTTGGATCCCACCTCCATGACCACTCAACCATCATCACAAGCATGTAACACCAATGCAGCATTAAGCCGGATTCCCAGCCAGTTCTATTGGAAATCACACCTTCATGCATGTGACCAAAGCCATCTCTGAGCCAGACTAACAAAGAGCCTAACAACTCTCTGTTGTGAGGGGCGAGTAGTTTTAATCTAAACTTCACGTGAACCTAAGCATTAACAAGGCCTCTCATGAAGGTCTATGACTCTTACTTCACACCGAAAGCATTTTGAGCGGCAGGAGAGGCTGATTCACATGCAAAGTCTATGGTGGACGCGCCTCTAAGGGTCGTGCGTCGCGTCACGTACGTTTTGGGCGGCGTGCAAGATAGGCGGAAGGGGCGCAGAGCGTTTTCCGCTTACTGTATGTGGTGCTGCGGAAGCCGCCGCCAGAGTTCAAATATCTGAACTTTTCGCCGCTCGACGTGTCTCCCACTGAAGACCGAAACAGACGGACTGGAGCTCTTTACCTGAAATCGACCGTGTGCAGTTGGATTTTCTGGCAGGATATATCAGCACCAATGTGAATCAGCTGCTCGGGACAAAAAAAAATTCCGTCAGCTGGCAGCTTCTTGAGTGACGAAACTAACCGAACAAATTGCCTCTAAATCATCTGGTGAGATAATTATCTGCTGTGCGCAACGTTCGCTTGCTTTTTAGTAAATAAATCAAAGCCATTTTCTTTTATTTTATCTTTATTCACCCACCAAGGAGACGCTCCTCCCACACCTCACTGCAGGAGCTGCTGCTTTTGTTCTGGTCTGAACACTAGTGCGTTCAACTTGAGGCGTTTTGCGCTTTTTGGCAGCTCAAAACGCGTTCGGTGTGAACGTAGCATTAGACTCTGTCTGAATTAATAAAACATCCTCAGCCACAGAATAAAAGTCCAGTTGTTTGGTTTTCAAACATTTTGTGGATTCACCGTGTACGGATGAGAGAATCTACACCAGCAAAAGATTTTCCTCTATAAGTCTCGGAGCATTTGTTATTATGACTTTTCAGCCATATCTCAACACAGATATGGTTTGTTTCAAGACAAATATAAACGTGTGATTTACCATAAATGTGTTTCCCAAAGGTTTAATTCTATGTTTCAGATGAACATTTCATGCTTATTTTCAGTACCTAAAGGAGTTCAGAGGAGCTGTGATAACAACATGCTTCCATGAATGTTTGTAAGTTCAGCTAAAAGATAAATGTTTGTTTTTGACAGCAGTGTGTGTGTTTGAGACCATGTCAGAAAATGTACTTGTTAGACAGACTAAAAGCGAGAGACTGGACTGAACTGGATCAATAAAAGCCACACTTCTAACACGTGCACATGTGTGATTATGTCAGTTAAATTTACTGGGAAAAAAAGATGATTGGTGGCCTAAAGAAGCATGAAAAGGAACACTTACTTAAACCTGTGGGATTGTGGTTCAACTCAAAGAGAATACTGCAGAAAATGTGCTCACTAAGAAACATCAGACCACATGTTTATAACTGCATTTTCAGAACAACTGACCAAAAAACTTTTAAATGATTACATTAATCAAATGTGTTGCCAGTGTTTGTTGTAGAGTTGACATGAAAAGAACCTGCTGCACATGAGAACATCTGAGTTCAGCTCACACAGGAAAACTGAATTCACACAATCACCACTTAAAGCAGGGGTCCTCAAGGGCCACTGTCCTGAATGTCTCTGTGTTTCTCTGGTTCATCACACCTGATTCAATGATTCAATCACCTCTTCAAATTCTGTACAAGTCTTTTAATTATCTATTCAGGTGTGTTTGAGGAGACACATAAGAAAACATGCGCGATAGTGGCCCTTAAGGACATTTGAACAATTTATCCTTTTTAATACCAATAACATCTTTCCTTCTTGTCAAAGATACATTTTTACAAATTAAAACTAAAACTAAATATATAACATTCACACCAATAAAAATGCTTTTTCCTAAACTCCATTAAAACATTTCAGAGCTCTCGCGCGGCTCCCAAGAACTGCTGGAGAGAATGAGACATTCGCTACTTTTTGAGATCTAAACCTTAAAGGCAATGGGGTATTTTGGCTGCAATTGTGCCACAGATCAAGCTCTACAGGTGGGGACAGATTCGGAGCAGCCGCTCAGAGCTCTTCTCCAGTGGTTCTTGGGAGCCGTGCAAGCGCTCGGGCTCTGAAATGTTGTAAAATTTAATCTTCTTTTCTCTATGGTGCATTGAACATTTCCTGAAAGTGTAATAATCATTTCCTGAACGTTTCATTTAAATCTGTTTGGTACTTTTTGAGATATAAGCCCAAGAAGCAACAGGGACATTTTGGCCAGAGTCATGCAGCAGATCAAGCCCTATAGGCGGGTTACAACTTCAGAGCAGCTGCTCGGAGCTCTCCAGCGGTTCTTGGATCAGATAGGAGCGGTGCACGCACTCTGAAATGATTTTATCTTTAATTTGTTGTTCTCTGTGGTGTATTGAACATTTTCTGAATGTTTCATTTACATGTAAATCCATTTTGTACTTTTTGAGATGTAAGCCCAAGAAGCAACTGGGACATTTTGGGCAAAGTCGGCCGCAGATTGAACCTTGTAAGCAGGGACATAGTGAGAGCTGGCCGTGCAGAGCTCCAGCGATTCCCGCATGTTTACTTTCGTTCCTCCTGGACAACAGAAGAGGACACGGGAGGGATGAGTAGACTAATCCCTGTCTCAGGGCTTCTTTGTCTTTAAAATATGAAAATAAATAAATAAAATAAATCCACCTTAGAGTACAAACCTTCAGGAAGCTACGGCTGACAGAATTTTGAACCAAATCACATGGCTGGTTTAATAGTTGGATTTTGGTTGTCTAAGATTAAAAATTATATTCCCCTCTCCCGTCATCAAACAGAACTAAAAACACACAATAGTTTCAGGAAATGTTAATCGCAGCAGAGAACAGCTGAATAAAGTTTTTAACTCGTCTGAGCAGACCCGAAAAACTCTACTGTCTGTCTGTTAGCATCAATATCTGGAGTGACCCCCAACCACAGCTTAGATCTCCATGCCGCAGATTGAGTGCCTCCCCCGGTCAAAGCGAGTCGAGCAAACCGCCTGGGCTCCACGTCCCGGGGGAGAAGCCAAACCCACTAAGCCTGAAAGCATATTATCTGAATGTATATTATCAGGCATACAAATGATTGATAAGTGCCTTCCAACCTACTAGGAGGTAAAGGAAGGACTGTCTGCAGACATTTTGGAACTGATAACCTCTAATAAGAGACATTTATTGGACTGACAACATTCCACTCATAGCTGGTGATTCCTGAATGCAACACCTTGTCCAGCTCATGTTGAGCTGCCAATCATGATTCCGCACCACCTGTCATCCGAGGCCCCGCCCCCCATGCTAAGTTGGGGTCATAAGTCTGAAACTGAAAATAAAAAGTTTGAAACTGAAAAAATAATTTGAAACTGAAAAAAAAGTTGGAACTGAAAAGACAATATGTTTAAAACTTTTCCAGATTATAATACATTGTTTTTCAGTTTCAAATATATATTTTTTTCAGTTTCAAAATAGTTTTTCACTTTCAAACTTATTTTTCAGTTTCAGATTTTTTTTTCCGGTTTCAAAACTTTTTTAAGTTTCATTTTTTTTAAATTTTTGAACAAAACTTATGCCTCCATGTTGGTGTTATTTAATTTACTGAGGTTTGAAATGGTTTTGAACTATTTCTAATTTAAATATTGCAAATGTATCCACATTTATGGTTCTTTTCTTAAAATTCAGATGTTTGGACCATTTTTTTCTGTTTTATGTGTAAAAAAAATGTGATTTTAACTGTAAATTTCTCAGATGTGAGCTTCTTTTAAACTATTTTTCAGATTTCCTGAGAAAGAATGGACGACTGATATCTGAAGACACAAACTGGAAACGTGACAGGGAAAATAATATGTAAATAACAGAAGAAACGACACTGTAGACAGTTGAAATGATCATTTTGACTCAGAAGAACTGAATTATGGACGTCTGCTTTGAAGCTCCTGTTCAACTCTAATAAATCATCTTCACACACGCCTATTTCCATCTGTTTGCTTTGATCCCATCCTCTGTGTTCACATACTGATTTAATAACAATAGATGATTTAACAATAAAGCAGCTCTGATTCACATTGTTTTCTGTTTTTTTATCTAGCAAAGCAAAATAAGCCAAAAATCTAACAGGTTGACTGAAACTAAGTTTGAATCACGGCCACCTTCAAAAACTTTAAGGTTGATGCTCTGCTGAAACAAAAAGTTTATTTTATTATCAGCAGCTCAAACACACATTAGTCAGCTAATAATTACAGGTGGGTCTAAAAGAAAAGCCTGCCTGTAAACCTGCATGTGGGACTGAGATAAACTCTGAGGCTGAACCATGATTCCTGTGGGGGCCAGGTGTTCACACTCTGGATGCTGCTTCAAGCCTGAATCTTCAGCTTTTATAGTTGAACCTTTTTTAACAGTTTATACCTAACTCAACAAATCTGAGTGTAAATATGTATCAGTTAGGAGTGTAATGAGTCACTGCTTCACCGCATGGGACAAGACCAAGTCCAAGGTCCACAAGACCCAAATAAGCTTCACAACACCTTTACATCAAATGACTTCCCAGTGCAGGCTGTAGGGTGTTGCCTGCTGCAAGAAGGTTGCAAGATCAAATCCCAGCCAGGGATGTTTCTGGGTAGAGTTTGAATGTTATTTCCATGCATGTGTGGGTTTTCTCTGGTTTCCTCCCACAGACAATTGTGCTACATTACCCCCCCCCCCCCCACCACCATTTTGTGTCAGAACCAAAGCCCGCCAGCAGAGCTTTTAGACATTTAGCCTTTGTCCAGCATTTCTTACCTTCTTCAGTTTAATGACAGCCTCTCTGGTTTCTGAGTCTGTTGTCAGTTCAAACATGTTTATTCCATCTCCATCTATTAAACGATAGTTCACAAGTCCGTTGTCTTCCAGATCTGGGTCTTTGGCCTTCAGACGTCCAACCTCCTCTCCTGGTACTTTGTCCTCTGACACAGACATGGTGTACACACCTGGGGGAGGAAAAACAGGCAGAGCATTTATTGGCTTGGCTGCTTAGAGATGGCAGAGTCAACTCCTGGTTACAGTTTGCTTTAGTATTCACCCTCCAACGTCTTTGGAGAATTTCTGGCAGTCTGCCACTGTGTTTACAGTTTGTGGCAGGGTCAGTTCAGGAGGGAGGTGAGGGATTAACACGCACCATACCATCTGCCTCAGATGGCCCAAAGGATATTTATGTGGTTTTTAGAGTCAAGTGTGTGTATGAGTGTTGGTGAGTGAAGGTGCAGACACCTGGTTTTCAGAAAGTGAGCAGTAGGACCATATGTCATCCTAATTTCTCTTCCTTCGGCTCTCCTCCTCTCTCATGTCCTCTGTCCTGATCTTGAGCCGGTCCCTCACTGAGCTGCAACTGTTGGGCACTAGCTGGTGACTCAGAATTGAGGGATCATTGCAACAAACTGTGACTGTTTTTATTGCAATCTCAGTGATTGTGACCAAATGAACAAAACTACATTTTTGTCTGTGCACAATAATTCACTGCACACCTCTGCACATGTTGCCTTACATCCAGGCCCGTGTTTATGTTTTAATCGACAGGAGCACACTTTTGAAATGATGATAGGCAGATTTGGATCAGTTTTTTCTGAACATTGGTCTCATATGTTTTCAGTCAGGAGAGTTGCTGTGCAGCTGTCAACGTACAGCTCCAACACTCTTCGAAAGTGTTTGTAAGGGTTTCACAAGAAAATTTATTGCACAAATGTTTAGAACATGTTTAAAATTTAAGACACAGGGACTCATGAGGAAGCTGAGAACCCTGGACACATTGGGAGACATGACAGCAGATGACCAACTTGTCACAGCTCAAAGAGACACCACAGTAACCAAAGTGTTACCATCCTATTTTTCCAGATTTCTACTGACCTGAGTGCTGATTCTCTGTTACATTTAACTATTAACTACCATCGTGTCACTTTTTGGCTTGTAGTTAGCATGTTGTTACTTTTTAGCTAGTATTTTGCTCCTTTTAGCTTTAGGCTAGCACAGGAGCAGCTCCATGTACCTGACTGCAGGCAGAAATTAAGCACAGTTCAAATAGGAAATGTGCAGTGAAAAAAAATCATGAAAATGTCAACATTTCAAACAGACAGAAAATGAAATTCTGATAACCAGATGATTGTAGTTGTTTTCTTTCCTATAGATCAGGGGTCCCCAAACTTTTTCCTGTAAGGGTCACATAACTTTTCCCTTCTCTGGTGGGGGGCCGGAGTCAGTTTGTAACAGAAAAAGTGTGACTATTGCAGGAGTGCCTAAATGTAAAAGTTTATTGTTTTCCAGAAAGTACAATCAAATAACCCTCTCTGGGTTCTTCACAGTATGTATTCTGCTGAGCTAACAGTCCATCTTTTAGCTTTGAGAATTTGTTTGCTCTCATTTGGCCTTGCAAGCTATCATACTTGTCTTTGTGACGGGATTCATAGTGTCGCCACAGATTGTATTCTTTGAATACCGCCACCGCCTCTTGACAGATGAACAAAAAGTTATTGTTTGTCCACTGCAGCTTAAATACCCTGCATTCTGAATCAATTTTTCTCTTACCTAATCTTTTCACCATTATTCTGTTATCTCTTTGAGAGGGGCGGGTTTGGGATTTTTTTCTGGGGGTTGCCAGATAGGGGCACAGACTGCTGAAGGGTGGAACAGAATGTCACGTTATATGTGTTTATGTGTGAAATAGTTACTAACTAATAATAGTTAATAATGAAAATAGTTCATAACTAAGGAACATTTTATTGCAAAAGTCCAACTTTATAATCAAATAGAAATACACATATATGAAAAAAAAAAACTAAATGCTCTCTGGTATTGTTCTGGGGGCTGGACCAAATGGGGAGGCGGGCCGGATCCGGCCTGCGGGCCATAGTTTGGGGACCACTGCTATAGATGACTGTGTTATTTCCATTTGAACTGAGAACAAAAACAAACCATGGAAGGAAAAACTGATGTAGTAAAAGTTGTTTTAGTCAAACTTTGTAAATGGGGTTATTTGCAATCTGGGTCCGTGTACTTTTTAGTCATTCTTTATTGTTTTTAATACAGATATAGAAAAAGGAAAACGGACAATTACTCTTTTTTATTTTATACTCAAAAAAATGGATAAACAGAGGACCATCTTTTTATTTTTGTTACCCTAAAGGTCTCTCCGTGGTCCAATTGGCTTCAGCAGATCCTGATCTCCAGCTCTCACTGGAGCGGTTCGCAGCCGAGTGTGAAGCGACTGGGATGAGGATCAGTGCCTCCAAATCCGAGACCACGGTCTTGAGCCGGAAAAGTGTAGAGTGCCTCCTCCGGGTCAGGGAGGAGGTCCTGCTCCAAGTGGAGGAGTTCAAGTATCTTGGGGTTTTGTTCACGAATGAAGGAAGAATGGAGCGGGAGATCAACAGGTGGATTGGTGCTGCATCTGCAGTGATGCGGGCGCTGTACCGGTCTGTCGTGGTGAAGCGACAGCTGAGCTGTAAGGCAAAGCTCTTGGTTTACTGATCGGTCTACGTTCCTACCCTCATCTATGGTCACGAGCTTTGGGTAGTGACCAAAAGAACGAGATCACAGATACAAGCGGCCAAAATGAGTTTCCTCCGCAGGGTGGCTGGACTCTCCCTTAGAGATAGGGTGAGAAGCTCAGTCATCCGGGAAGGACTCAGAATAGAGCCGCTGCTCCTCCACATCGAGAGGAGCCAGTTGAGGTGGCTCGGGCATCTGGTTAGGATGCCTCCTGGACGCCTCCCTGGTGAGGTGTTCCAGGCACGTCCCACCGGGAGGAGGCCCAGAGGAAGACCCAGGACACGCTGGAGGGACTATGTTTCTCTGCTGGCCTGGGAACGCCTTGGGATTCCCCCAGATGAGCTGGCCCAAGTGGCTGGGGGAGGGAAGTCTGGGTCTCTCTGCTTAGGCTGCTGCCCCGTCAAACCAAAAGCGGAAGAAAACAGACAGACAGACAACAAAGGTTTAAAACCGTTGCCAAGTCAACTCAGTGCTGTCCTGCTGAACCTGCTGCGGCTTTCAGTTCCTTAACATTGCCTTCTTGGAGAAAGGCTTCATGAGCTAATAGCACCAGAAGCTCCAGGAAACAGTTCATAACATCAGTGATAAACAAACTGTCCACTGAACATCTGCTAAAGAAATGTCAAATTAGTTGGCTAGTGTTTATTTATTGCTGCCTGGTTAGCTAGTTATAACATATTTACTCATTCTATTGCCAGACTATTTAAGGTCTGTTTTTTAAGAAATTAGCTAGACTAGCTATACTAATAAAAAGTACAGTCTGCAGTAAGTTAAAGAAATGCAGACATAGGTGGCTGGCATTTATTTATTCACAGGAAGCTTACAGGTAGTAACTAAAAAGTTATTTAACTAGCTCCACCTTAAATTGTCTGATAACAACAGTGTTAGCTTCCAGTTTGACATGTTTTCCCATTTCTGGAGTATAAATGAAAATAGAATAACCATTAATAGTTCAGATTTCAATAAATGTGTTTAAAAACAAAGATCAAATGACCAAAATGTACACAGACTGGGATGACTCAGCTACCACACCAAATCGTAGTTCAGTATTTGTAAAATAAACAGAGCTATAGCCATTTTTGTGCTGATTAATGTTGGTTACTATGGTCATCTATAATTGAAGTTAGTCCAAAATGTAAAGTTATAGATGTACATCCAGTTTTTTTTCTGAGAGTTTCATCCGGGTGTTCATGAGATTTTTTGCTAACAGACAAACAAAGTTGACACCAACAGGTAATTCTAGTTTTAAGCAGAATAATGTGCATTGGGAAGCACTTTGTGTATTAAATTGGTACGACAATTTTAGCTGGATACCTCTAAAACTAGCTGAGTTATAGTCATTTTTTATTTGTTGTTTGGATGTGGCAGCTATGTTGAATGAAGTTGAGTCTAAAAGTTTCAATAATATATTCCATTGGTGTATAAGATATTTTAATAACTGTGCAGACAAACAACACACCCACAATAAAAAAAACATAAGTGTTTGCGTTTGAGAGGACCAATCAAGAGATTCAGTGGCGTCTTTTAAACAGCTGGAGTCCGAAAAAACGAATTCAAAAACACTAATTAAACTGTTTGACACACTGTACATTACTTTATTACCATTTTATCACATTTAACAAATCCAAACAAACTCTCAGCTGAACCCTTTTTGGTTTCGTAAGTTTTTTGGATTTCTTCCATAACGTTGAGATCAAAAGCCTTTTTAAAAAGGAAAAAATAACTTTCTCTGAGAAGCACAAAGGCTCAGTTTCAAATAAAAAAGTAATTGGAGCAATTGTGGGAAACACGTACAGCGCTTGAAAGGATAAAAAGCTCAGAAATGAAAACCAGAGGTGAAAATGTGTCTGTAGAATCAAACAAAACTTGTGTCCATCGCAGCAACATTTGTTCTTTGTCACCAAGCACCACACTCTGGTTCAGTTTAAAAAATAGGCACTAAGTCTTAGTAGTTTTTAGTCTGCTGATGTCTTTCTTTTTGCCCTTACATTCAAATAAATTAGTTTGAGCTTCTTTTTTCTGTTTCTTGTAGCTTAATTATTCTCTGTTTGTTCTTATTTGTTCTTCATTGTGACTTTTATGTCTTCTTTACTTGTTCTTAATGACGCCACTTGACACACATGTAAAGACATGTGTTCATCAATGACGTTTCAGCTTCTCTGGGCCTTCTTCAGGCTTCAGCTTTTGTGAAACTTCACAAAACCAGTAACTGAAGGAGACAGTGTTAATTTGTTAGTTAGAAATAAAAAAAACCCCAGAATGAACTATTTACAGTTTAAAACACATAAACGCCAAACTGATCCCACATTCTGCATCAAATCTTTATGTTTTGAGGCCTCTGATGATAATGTTTTATAAATTAAAGATTGACATGGTTCTATTACGTTATTCAGAATAAAACTTTTATAAAATCCAATGTTTTTAAATTTAATGTGCCATATTCAAACTC